GGCTGCTCCAGGACACTTTTGAAAACCATTTCAGAGACATGTTCTTAAATGTGACTCATATAAAATATATTACATGCATGCAAGTTTTAAGGCAGCTTTAATCATCTTTTTGGTAACTTCATGACTTAACCTACCACGTCATTGCATGCACGTAGTTTATTTCACGCTTTGATATGAAAGGATACAGGCTATAGTGCGCGCCGGCGCCTTTGTGCGTGCAATTGAAGAGCACGCGCTGCGAGCACAGTACCGTTTCCGCACTCTTTTGACTCGCGCCTGGCACTGAAGTGAAGTGGAGTCATTCTGCCACTGAATAAATGCACTTCTTGTCAAGAAAAAAAAGTGACAGAAGCAGCAGTTGTGAGTGGGGTGGCCAACCCTAGCCCTGCGTTAATTGTGTTAAATATTTTTAACTCGTTAAACTGAAAAAAATGCATCGCCTGCGTTAACGCGCTAATTTTGACACCACTAATACATATATATTATATATTTATATTTATATAATAATATATATATATTTCATTTAATTACTGATGCACTGAGAATCCATGGCTAAAATGTTGGACACACTACTAGGCCAAAAGCCAAAACCAAAGATGTTATTAAAATAGGGTCATTTAAAATGGGCAATCAATTTGTCTAATGCTATGAGATTGCACACGACAGTCACAAATTTTAAGTGTATCCATAATCAGGATATTCATTTCTCATATAGTCACACAGCCTGTTCTATTTAGTTATGAGCTGTATGAGAAACCAAATGCTTCAAAAGAGGGAGGGAATTGAACCTTGCAGCATGACCAATATATGTGGAGGGGCTGATGTGGTGAAAATCTACACAAACGCACAAATTATCTATTGTAATCATCACTACTCAACCTCACTAACCAGATCACTAGGTCCATCTATAAATGTAACCTTAGAGAAACAAAAATGGTTAATTGACACTGTCGTAACCCATAATGCATCAGGCATCCAAAGAGCTCAAGTCGGTTCAGCTGAATAAGCAGCAGTGAACGCTTCTGGAAAGCAGATAATGGCTCAGGTGGTGACATGGAATCATACTTCATCTTAATTACACATAAGAAGCTCATATACAAATCGCTGACGCTGCTAGAACTGATGCGGCTGATTAAGACTGTCGGCTACATGTCAGTATCAAGAACGGCTTTTATAAGATGTATTTAAAGATGAACCAACAAAACTATACATTAGAAGTTAAAGCAATGAATCTCTGTTCTCTCGTGTCAGTATTTTTTCATAAAACTACAAACTGAGGTTGTCAAGATGTTGTTTATTATTATTTTTTAAATAATGTTTATATATATATATATATTTTTTTTATCCTCAATAGGCTGCATTTATTTATTCAAAAACAGTAAAAATAGAAATAATGTGAAATATTACAATTTAAAATAACTTATTTAAATATATATTAAAAAAATCTGTATCACTTACTCAGCTTTAATTGTCACATGATTTTTCAGAAATCATTCTAATATGCTAATTTGCTGTTGAACGCCCAATTTGACAATAAATTATATTTAATATTTTTATGATAATCTTAACATTTCCATTTGTTCAGGATTCTTTGATGAATAGAAAGTTTAAAGTCACGTTTTTCCATTCAACTGCCCTACATTTACATTGTTTTTATATGTAAATAGACATGTGCCGGTTTTCGGTAATGCGATATATCACGGTAATGAATATGCACGATATTGTTATCGTGGGCACTTCAAAAAACACCTTGAATAATTATTTATTACAAATTATTCCGATTTTTTGAATGCATTTTAAGAATATTTTTTCAATCAACTGGTCACAATGCACAACACCGCTAGATGTTGCGTGAAAGACGCATTCACACCCTCATGTAAACAAGCACGGATGAGACACGCATGGCTGAATGCGTGAAGTAAACGAAAGCGCATATTCGCTCTCTGACAGCAGATGGTGCTGAACAGCAGAAATGCAGCCGTTTCCCCGGAAACCCCATAAATAAAGCAGCTGCCTACTAACAGCCATTCAGATTTTTGTATTCGGAGTGGTGTTCATCACAGTGCCAAATACTTAAATATTTAGACTTAATAGGCTATTTATTTTCAAATTGTTTTTTTTTTACATTTTAATGTGGACTACAACCTGCCCTAGATATTGTTTGAAAATGTTTTGATTCTTTATTGTTTGGTCACACTTTACATTAAGGCTCTATTAATTAACATTAGTTAATTCATTAGTTAAACTGCTAATGAAAAATTATTCTAAACATTCATTAATCTTAGGTAATTTCAATATTAAATAACGTTGTTAAAATCAAAAGTTGCAACTGTGTTAATGAACTAACAGTTGTATTTTTTAACAAATATTAATAACTTCTGTAGCAAATGTAGCTATTGCTCATTATTAATGTTAATGCAATAACTAAGGTTAACTAATGAGATCTTATTGTAAAGTGTTACTTATTGGTCTTTATAATTCTTTTGCACTTTAATCTGTGTGATTTTTTTTTTAACTTTATACATATTTTGTGTGTTACTTTATTGTATGTATTCTTTTTGTTACAACACTTTTTTACAATTAAATTTCAATACCGTGATAATACCGTGATAAAAGCATTAGCAATTAATCGCAACATGAAAATTTGATACCGTCATATGCCTATATGTAAACATAGTTAAAACAAGTTAAACATAAAAAACACATCTTTTACCATAGGCCTGGGCGATAAAACGGTATCGATATTTATCGACGGTACACCTTCTTCGATAACGATATAAAAATTTTCAATATAGTGCACAATATAGGCACATGCTATGAGTGATGCAGACAGCACACACAAACACGAACATGAGTGCCGAGGAGGTTGTGAATTAAAAAAAAAAAAGAATATTAGTCAAATTTAAAATATTTGCATTTCAATGCAAAAATGGTACAATCGAATGTTAGGTGTGCGTCAGGGAGCGTCATCAGTGGAGCGCGAGATACGGTGATGATGATGTAAGTGACGTTGTAGTTTAATGCTTTGTTAGTCTAGCCCACAAAACGCGCAGTTGCTGCGTTAATTCAAAATATTAGAGATATATAGTAGTTCAATGCGTAGAAGATCTTGATTAGGTTAAAACCGAAACCAAGCCATTCACACAGAACGCAAATTCTGCGCATTTTAAAGACGTGCAAATATGACTGCTGCACTCGCGTCTCACACAAGAGATGTAGCCATGCAAAGTTAAAACAGTTTAAACTTTTTGAAAACACGTCACAAATCTGTGGAGGTTTATTTATTTTTACTGCGTCTCATATGTTTTTAAAGGCAATCTGTGTGAGCGGCGCTTCTGCTCTTTGTATTAAGCAATGCATAAATACGTGATGCTGTTTTGTTCATAATTGGATTATGCAATTTACAAATTTATATTTGATTTATATGAGTTAATTTAGACGTAATGCACGTTTTTTTTATAGACAGTTATTTCCTTGCGTTGCAATTTAATGTGCTGCATTATTTTGCTCATTAGGCCCTCCTGTGGCCTCGGGAGACAAGCCAAAAGTTTAACCTATTTAACGTGCATATAAAACATTAGAAACTAGATATTTGTTTAATTTTTATTTTATGTTTGACTGTTAAAACAAAACAAAAAAAAATGGTCTCAATAAATTTAGTTAATTTTAAAATACAGTGGTTAATTGTAAACTTTTTTTTTTTAATGGTTTAAAAAGTTTTAAAAAAAGGTTATAAAAATGTCAATAATTATCGATACCAAACGATATGAAACATTATATCGTTGATACATTTTTTTAGCTATATCGCCCAGCCCTATTTCACCATTCCACTGCTTACTTTATTTATTTGTTTATTTAAAAAGCTCTGTGTAAATGGGCCCTAAGAATTCTTTAAAATTTCTACTTGTGTTTAATAAAGGAAGGCTTGGAATGACAATCTAATTTTTCTTTAAGACTAGCAGTTTGATGGATTCAGCAGGCCACTCTCACAAGAGCTGGCATGTGTTGCCACTATTTACACAAATGAAAAGTTGTTTATTATGTATGGCATTATAGTCAGCATTAACTAATGAGGCCAATTCATCCAGTCATTTTCCGCATGTACCACTGCAGTCCTGACTGTGCTTAGTAAACGCAGTGAGGGCTAGATGAGGGGTTATTCCCTCTGGTCTGGAGTGCGGCTGCGGTGTGGGTTGGTGTGATGACATTATTTACAGATGTTAGACGTGTGGGTGTGAACAGTACAGACTGCACACTGGGAACATTCAGAAACCCCCAGATCAGGTCTGTTATTTAGACACCATGAAGAGCATGAGCGAAATTGTTAGATCCCCCAGAGGAAGTCAAATATGCTGTGACATTCAGAAACAAAACTGTGGAGGCTGATGGAAAAGTGTGAGAGAAAAGAAGTGGAAAAAGACCAAATTAAGAGAGAAAATAGGATATCTGATTCATTAGTAAGGCTGGTGCACATTAAACACAATGTTTCGTATGTGGACACAATGGCAAATAATACATACAAAAGTTCTCAAATTAAACAATTTTAATTATTTTACTATTATCAATAGCACTAATAATAATAATAATGTTATTATTAGACGAAAAATAATTTGAAAGTTTTTATTTTTTAATTATTACTAGTTTATTTTATTGTATTTATATTTTATTAATAACACATAATAATCATAATATAAACTACAAAGTATTAATGAAAATGAACTACAACATTACAAACAAACAACAAACAAATTATTATAACAAATAAATAACATATCAAATAACAAATTTTGTACTAGAATAACAACAACAACAATAATAATAATACTACACATTATTACTAAACTGTACTAAACCATTTCAAATATAATAAATAGATAAATAAATAAACCTATTTTATAATAATAATAATAATAATAATAAACAATATTAATTAAAACTGCACTAATGCCTTTCGAAAAATAAATTCATTAATTAATTAAACTCAAATTTGATCAAGTTACCTGTGGGTTCTCGGTCTCTGGCTGAGCGACGCAGTGCGTCCTGGACTGTGTTGGCTGCCCAAGCGAGCTGGACTCGTCATGTAATCGTTGGGCACTGTTGGAGGTTTCACCGGCTCAAGTGTTTTATAAGGAGTGTTACGCCTGTATATGTATTTAAAACAGGCAAAAATATTAGAAACTTAAAATAATACATGATTTATTGCTTTGTTACTGAAAACTGCTGTCAGTGTCAAACTATTGTCTGATTTATCAAACTGGTCAGAAACTTTTTCATTCTTCTCACAATGAAATACATGAGGAAATCACGTCTTACCCAAGAGTGCCTCGTCCTGCCAAGGGTGGGCTGGGAGGTTTCTGTGATGGGGGATTGGTCCTGGAGAGAGTTCCTCCTCTGATGGACTGATTGTTGCCGTGTTGCTGATTGGACAAGCAAAACATCTGTTTAAGCATTTGAACAGAGCCCGACCATCAGATTATATAAATAAGACTAAAGAAATGGAGATGAGAAGAGGGCTTTACCAGACAAAACCAAAGGTTCAGTTTGCTACTGCAAAGAATGGGCCTCATTCATGAAACTTTTGTAAATGTATGAATAATTTGCCTGTAAAATTGTAACCGTTTTATTGTTAAACGTGTACATGCTGATGAATTCCAATCAATCATGAATAGTATTGCACATCAAGGTTGTTATTATAAAGTAACTGAAACTAAAATAATAATAAAAAAAACAACAACTAGAAAATGAATTAAAAACTACAATTTTAATTTTCCAAAAAACTAAAAAAAGTTCAGATGTTTTATGCACCAATAAAGCATGGTTGAGAGCTATTTTTTTTAAATACAAACATTTTCAAGAATCTAAACATTTACATAAGAATACGAATTATAAATAATTAATTAATTAATAATTACAAAAAGCACTTGCTTTTGTATGCCGCATACAGGATACATGACGAGAAGAATACAAGCTTCTCTGTGAAGACAACTTAGTCCACAAACTGCAGAGACAAAGGTCTTTTACCATAACAATGGCTCCGTGTAAAGTGACTGTTCTGCACCACATGCAAATTGTGACATTATTAATGCACTGTCCTGTATGAGTAATGAGGGCAAAAGTAACCGGGACAAATTAAACATTAAACATTTGACAGCACTAAAACAAACATTAAAACAAACATACACAGACTGATAAATCAATAGATAAGATGTTATATACACATATATATATTTAGTTAGCAATAGTGTAGCAACTTGCATTTCATATATGCTTGCAGTTATTCGGTTAGCCTGAACTCAATTCTAATCATTAAATTTGACCATTTCTAGCTTTGGATATATATATATATATTATGACATAACTCTAAAAAAAAAAAAAAAACATATTTACATATCAAAACACATAGCCTCAACAGCGTACCTGCACTCCTTCAGTCGAGACTGTATTCATAATATAACAGGACCTGAAGTGCATTATAGTTTTATAAAATAAATAATATAAAAAGAAAAAAATAGCTTAAAATTAAATAAATGAATAGATAGATAAATAAATAAATAAAGAACAAGCAAATAAAGAAATCAAATAATAAACAAAGAAACTAAATAATTATTAATATTAAATAAACTATAAAAAAAAATAAACAACCTGAAGAAATATAGACATATCAACTGTTCAATAGATTGAATGTGAGATTTAATAATCTACACACAAATAAGTTCAGTTAGCATTAGCAGGGCCCTATGGTTTCCGCAAATGTGGAACAGAATTGCGGAATCCTATCATAAAAACAGAATTAACTGAATAACGTGGAATGTCCTGGAATTTAATTAATTAGATAAGATTTAATCTATAAAAATTTAAATAGAAAAAATGCAATTTTGAATTTTTTTTTTTATGGAATTTGGGAAAAAATGTAATGGATTTCATAGGGCCCCATGTTAGTGTAGCAACTTGCGTATACTATTAAAGCCAGTAGGTTAACTGGAATCAACTGAAAATATTATAAACGTTCAATTTGACCATTTCTAGCTTTGGTTATATATCATGACTAGTGTTGTCAAAAGACCCGGTACTTCGGTACCAAGTCGGTACTAAAAAAAATGAAAACGTTACGGTACCAGGTTTTTTTTAAGTACCGGTGTACCGAGTACCCGGTCAACCCGTTTCTTGATGCGCTATCCGAAAGGCGCGCAGATGCGCTCTCTTCATAAAAGCACAGAGACGTGGCGACATCAAAACGAGGAAACACATCAAACTAACAAAACACTTTAAAGACAGACACCCGGATCAAATGAAAGAGTTCAAGCAGGTAAGTTTCATTTGAATTTTTTATATTTAGATCTTCTCAGTGTTTCCCATACATTGATTTATTTGTGGCACTCTCCACAATATCAAAACTGACCACCACAAATTGATTTTGCAAGAGGCTTTGACTTCGTTGAATAAACATGAGCACTGCACGTGTCGAAGTCAAAACCTGGTGCGGGTGTTTTTATATCACTGTATTTCTTAAGGAAACCGACCGTTTTCAGAAAACGATGAATGTCATTTTCATTTCATCTTGCCTGTAATGCCTGAGCAGCGTTTGTGAGTGCAGCGCTTATTTGATTACAGCCGTTACCGGGAAAACCTCTATCTCTATCTCTTCCGCTCTACAAGCGCCTCCTGCTGGCAGAGAATGAATTAGCATATATATGCCGCCACAAATAGAGTACAAGTCTGTGGGAAACACCGCTTCTGTTATATGAATTTTAATTTGAATGTCGGATTGAAATGAACATCGCTGTTATTAGAGTAGTTAATCGTTAGCATAAGTGCGGCTAATGCTAATATAATCCGCATATGAATGAAGTTTCTTTATGAACTATTTAATGCTCCTATAACTTTTATTAGGGTTAAAAAACAGGAGGACATGATGATATTTACTATTTTTACACACCACAGGCTTTTAAATGAATTGTGAATCTAAATTATGCGTGTTAAAGAATGTACAAAAGGTTAACATTGTGTCATATCAGTCAGAAAAGCAGTTCTGGGCTTTTTTTTTTTTAGCTAACTTAGTTGTTATTCTTGGCTGAATAACTCTAGAAGGTTTTAAAAGCCCTTTAAAATTAAATATGTACACAGTTTGGATTAAATGAAAGTATAGTAAAAAATTGTAATTAGCATGTTTTTGTGTTTTGCTTTGGTATCGAAATTGGTACTGAGAACCGTGGATTTTCACTGGTATTGACACCGAATACTAAAATTTTGGTAACGTGACAACACTAATCATGACATACATATATAAATATTAATATATATATATATTTTTTTTTCCCCCAACACATAAGCACACAACGTGTTGCAGCATAACTACATCATAACATATATCATTTAATTTATATTAAATTTAATTCATACATATCACAACACATATAGGAGATCCTAAACAGACAAATGTCTAATTAAGCACTGAACAGAGTAACCATTAAAAATTTCCTTCAGCCAATAGAATGGTTTTGGGGTTCAAAGGGCACAGGATTATGGGTGAACTGAATCTTACACGACATCAGTTCCACGATCAGATACACAAACGTACATGCAGTGTTCATTCAGATCTCAGTGGAATCAGTAGACAGACAGAAATACGGCTTAATTTATCACACTCTGACAGCGCCAAAATTCTCCACACGGAAGACTGCGAAAGCGCTCAATGTTCACCGAAACAGATACACGAGCAGGCAAAGAAAATGATTCAATTTTTTTTTTCCTGAACAGAGGAAGTAAAATAAACTAGTTAAAAAAACGTTTGAAAACAGCATCTGAGAACGCTGACTAGATTAAGTGTCAACTGACATTGAAAATAAATCTCATCTTTTGCAAACGCAGTCAATTTGGCTGAAGATGCTGTAATCCCCGTCAGGTGACTCAAGGTTATGGCTTCTCTTACTGAACGACAGCAATGCAACAGTGAAAAGCTGTAATAAAACACTGCCAGGATATTCAGTGACAGCAGAACGCACTGTACACTCTCAGGAAAAAAAAGGGTACAAAATCGGTCACTAGAACGGTACCTTTTCAAAAGGTACTAATATGTTCAAAAGGTACTAATATGTCATATTTAGGCACTGATATTAACATACTAATATGTAGCTTAAATGTAATAATATGAACCCTTTAAGGGTAAATAAAGCACAAGTGTAACTTTAAAAAAAAAAGTGACAACCCTTGGCACAAATGATACATTTGAAACTTTGTAGTGGTAGTTTACCCAAAATGTTTATTGTATAGGCCCAAAAAATTAATAAATAAAATAATAAAAATTACAAGTAAAAACAAAAAAACGTAATTTGTGAAGAAATGCATAAAAGTCTGGAACAAGTGGGTGAATATATGACATTTGTGTAAACTATATACACACACACACACACACACACACACACACACATATATATATATATATATAT